AGATTAAAATCGTTTTAGTGAGTGATGGTTTTCTTACACATGCCCTAATATTATATATATGTATATACTTGGTGTCACAAAAATAGAGTAATGTATTACAACAAGACAAAGTTCCATTCCTTATAATTCTACGTTCTTCCAATAATAAAATTATGTAAATATTCATTAACATCTACATTCTCAAATACTTGTATATTGAAACTTCCAAATTAATCCATTATAGTCAGAATATCATTAGCGGACAAAAATTCGTAGTTTTTTAAATATATATTTGGAATGATTCAGCCCAGTTCTGCATGAAAATCAAACTAAAGACCATTCCATAAAAACTCTTACAAATAAGTTGAAAAGTTCCTATCAGTCAGTTTGTTTATGATGCTGTTGATGATTCTCCATTCTACAAGATCAATACAGGAATACCTCCAATCTCTATTCTAACTCTGTTTGTTCTCAACAACAGCATTTTGGCACATCATAACTTCTATTTTTCTTTCATACACATGAATTTGGTCCATTTTAATTTCTTTAAGTCCCAACTCTGTATAAGTACTCTTAAACAAAAAGTATACCAACCACCACCCTATGCGCACGCACCTTCGGCTTGTTTCCGACTAACAGGCCTTTAACATAGTGACACCATCTCTTAATAAAAAATCAGATATAATACTGTGCCATCCATCAGTCTCATCAGTATTTCTGGTAAGAAATTATGATTCCTTTTAGGCGATGGAAGTACTTTTCACTATCTAACCACTTGATGTTCTGTCAGCTCCAGATAAGATCCAATTTTGTAGAGCTCTTGCTCCACTATTGATTAAAGGAGAACTATTTTTCATTTGATAGCTTTTGCTCTTTTGAACTTGCTTCCATTATTTTGCCACTATTAGCAAAGTTGGAAATTTCTCACAATACTACGAAAAAATGACAGATGTGTGTCGTAAAGTGATATTGATGCACCCTTGGACAACTACTCTTTGAAAGAGTATTAATTCTAAGTTTTGAATTCTAAACATTGACAGTGTAGCATCAAAATATTTGGAAATTAAATAGGTATTTGGAATTTTATGTTTGTCATATTACAGTAATTATTTCAATTGTTTACAGTACTTCCTAAATATGTCTATCAATATACAGGGTGTTTCAAAAATAGGTGGCGTTAGGATAGTAAAAAATTGTAACGTATTCGAGATATAGGGTGTTGAAATTTCAAGATTTTTTGTTTTTCCTTAATTTATAAATGCGTGTTACGACTTCATTTTTTATTTTATTCATAGAAGACTTTAATTAACTGCCATCAGTTTTTTAATACAAAATTTCGTTACGTCATCAATATTACTTTTTTGTTTTTAATAAATCGTTTCTAAATTATATTTAGAATACAGCGGCGCCGTATAATAAACAAACGATTCAAGACGTTTTGTATTTGCTTGACCATCATCAAATAAGTCTTAAAGCCAAAATTGCATTTCAGTTTTTCGGATTTCAACCAACTCACTTCACTTTATATTTACGAACTGTAAAAATTGTTTGCGACATTATTTTTTATATTTTTTGCTCTATACATGATTTCTCTAAAAGTTACCGTAATTGAGAAATTTGAGGAAATTTGCAAAATTTGAATTTTTCAGTATTTTAGTTGGCAATAAACATAGGAAAAAATGTTTTGAATATCTTTTATCTTTACTTAGATAATAAGCCCGTTCACGCCACTTTCCCTGTTTATTCCACATATCTGGGGAAAAATTATGAAGATCTATATATATGGCAACGTCGCTTTCCTAAGAATTACCTTTTAATACTAGGTACCGGGTGGAAACACTGTTGGCACAGATTGCACACACAGAACGAAAATAACGAAGCATTTACCAAAGTCGTGTCGATAAAAGACAGAAAAAGGAATTTTAATCCTGAAATCCTCTCTGGAAGCGACGTTGAAATTTTCCAAACCGTTGGGAACAAGGAAACTATTAAAACAACGATCCAGCTAAATACGCAACCCCAAAGCACGTCTCTAGAAAGCCAGACATCAAAGAGAAAGTAGATGGAATCAACGATAACGACACCGAAGATGTAGAAACAAAATAAACCGATTATATTAGCGAGCGCAGATAACTGGTACAGACTGAGGTTGGGACTCAGATATCAAGAAATTAAATACCTGACAGCGAAATAAAGATTTTGCCTCCCCCATATAGAAAAATTATGAGATATTTAATAGAAATTGGAGGTAGATAAATTCCATTGCTGTACGCTTCAACAAGATAAACCTTTATAAAGCTTCATTCACCATCCTGAAACAGGAATACTAGATGTCCTAGACATTATCATCACTATATTTTGCAAATTTTCACTCAAAAAGTATTCCTTACACGAAGGAGCTGTTGCACACAACCCCACTCTTCTACACTTGGGTGAAGGAAAAATATTCGGAAAGAAGTTGAAAAGACAAATAGGATACAATTTAAAAGGATAATGAGAGGAAACCTGAGAAATATATACAGAATTGAGGCTCCAGAAGGCGTGGACCAGACTCTTGAGCACCTAGAAGAGTTATTCAGCAGGCAATGTCAACCAGCACGACTATAGTGAAGATAGCGAAACCAAACAAATTTCAGGACATCAGTCAAGAATTAAAAATCTAATCACCAACAAAAGGAGACCGACACCGGTCATAGAGTCAGTGAAGAACTCAAACAACACACTTCTCGAAGAACTCGACCCTCAGAAACTAGGATTATGAAAACTACAAAAATCTTGCGACGAAAGAAAATTCATCCCATCCTTGCACGGAGCAAATGGGTTGGTTAGCACAGCTGAAGTTAAACCTGATGCCTTCGCCACTTCGTTGGAGAAGAATATGATAATGAACGAGAAATAGGACGGCTTGCGTCCTCATCTCTTGATGTGTCAGCTAAAACGGCAACGGAAAAGACTTCATTTCAAATCGAAGGATCTAAAAGCTGCCGCTGAAAACCACAGTCTACCTCACAGCCTTCATAAATGAGATTTAAAGAACTCAGTACTTTCCGAGGCTGTAAAAAAACGTTAAGGTAGTTGAAGATCAGAAAACTGAACAAGGACCCCACTTACAGTCCTATTAGCTTGGCTTTCAGCGATGAGCAAAATTGCTGAAAGAGTCATACTAACATGACTGCAAGAACATTATACCTGAAAAGCAATTCGGATTCAGAGAGAAACACTTCACCGACTAATCGAAAGTATCACAAGAGGAATCAACAGGAATTAGTCAACAGGAGCTATATAATGAAGGGCCAAGAAAACACAGTAGGAATAATAGGTCATATCTCAGTGGAAGACAATTCTGGATCAAAATGGGACACATCATATGTAGGAAGTCCGAAAGTAGGAGTACCCCAAGAAGCGGTGCTATCACCCCTGCTGTATACCATATACATGGCGGACATACCCAAGAGTGAACACACTACCATGTACCTCTATGCAGATGATATATCAAGATGACATATCCAGATGACATATCCAGAATGATACTCAGGTACCTTCAAGAAGCAGCAGCAGAAATCGAGAAATGGTATATTAAGTGGAAAATTAAGATCAATGCCGAGGGAAACTCTAGCTGTGTTGTTCAAAAAGAGAGAGAACCAACTAGACGTGGAAATTAAAATCCAATCTGCAAAATAATTCGTAGTAAAGAGTCAAAGATTAACAGTCACCAGCCACGTGGACATGGTAGTGAGCAAGACGAAACAAGTCAAATCAAGGATGAACTGCTTACTAGGAAGAAAAAGCATGCTACTGCTGAAAACTAAGTTGACTCATCCAGTCAGTAATATTGCGTTCAAAGCTTGGGGATACACATGCAAGACAAACAGAAAGAAGATACAGGGCCAACAGAACATCTGCTGAAGACAGGCTAAGATTTCACCTCAACATGGACCTAAAGAAATTCGTCAAATACGAAAGAGATGATTATAAGACACACGTCAGACCATGCAAACTGCTGGATTGTAGAGAGTGACGGAAAATTTGTAGTTGCAAAAATAGGATTTTTCGCTAAATTTTCAACTGCCCTCTGGTTGGAGAAAGTCCTCTTAGTCGCAAAAGTAGACTAGGAGAATCTTCAAAGGACATCAGCAACGCCCTGTCTAAATGACGATAGTATGTCATCCTTCATTACCTTCTAGAAGGTATAACATAAAAATCAAATGATCTAGATCTTGAGACCTATGCAGAGAAATAAGCAGGAGGAATGGTGGTGGTCAGATTCCAATTTGGTATTTACAGGATAGGAACTTAGGACCGATTCCACCGTTGTGTTAAACGGAGATTAAAATGACGTTGTTAATGTAAACAACGGTGGAATCGGTCCTTACTCAACTAAGGCTAAAATTCCCTGTGTATGTATGGATAATCTACAATTTACGTCAAACAGGATTCTGACACACATTGTATTTTGGTAGATTTCTCAGTATTAATTATGTATTCTATTTATTTGCTTGTTACATTATTTTTGTGACACCTTGTTAAATTATACAAAGATGTTTGTGATATTCTAGGTATAATTGTGTACCTTGTAGTACCTATCTACATGTTACCGTATAACGAATATTAATCTTCTCGTATATATATTAAAAACACGTTCAGCTTGAAAATAGACTTTAAGATAACTAACATCTTACAAATAGACAACTATAGGTAACATAGTTACTCATTTTATTCATTAAAATAAAATAATTAAAATCGAAATAAGTTTTAAAAAAGAATGGAACTAGAGTTTGTTGACATTGACTCGATTTTAATTATTTCAGTAGTGACGCTCTCAACAATTTCTTCAGAAGAAGTAATTCCGAAGCTCTAAATACACATTAAACTATATTGAAATTAATTAAAATATCACAACAGATCAACATATTCTCTCATCAGTCTATTTTTTTTGGAATTGAATATTTTTGAGAGTATATGTGTATATAAAAGTAAACTGAGTTAAAATTAACTATCAACAAAACGAAAATGGAATTCTAGCAAGTTTTTAGCAAAGAGATCAAAGTTTTTCTCTTACATTTTTTCAAATGTCTTTTCTTAATTGACCAAGTATTAAACATTTTACTTAACAAACAATCATATTCAGACTTTGGAAAAAATTTGAGTCAAATTCGGGAGCAAAGGTCAGTGTAATATTTCTAGATTTTTTATTTTTATAAAAAAACGTCTTATATGTGAATGTCAGCCACAGTTGGTATTGGTTGTCCCGTATCTGGAGGTGCCTGCAATAAAAAATATGCTATAACTATTAACGTCTCAAACATTTTGTTTATTTATTATAAACTAATTTTTTTTTCTGCAATAAAATACTGAATGATAAGAATGAACAAAATTATCAGATTTTGTTCAACTGCCTAGCACAGTTAACGAAAATTTGCATACAAAAAAATACAAAATACCAATACCAAAATAATCTTAAAGCTTTAGCCATCTTCTACATATATAATATCATTATTATTGTATTAGAAAGTAACAGTGCGAATCAACAATTAGCATTATTAAAGCGGAAATAGACGGACCGCAATTTGCGGTTGCTGTCGACTTCATAAAGCAGTTCCGAGTCCATGATACTACAAAAAGTAGGTCGATATAACGCAGATTGATACTAGGGTCACGGTGACGTTTTGTGGTGCGAAAGCGTGGTTTTTACCAATTTAAGGTATGAGCTGATCGAAAACAGCGTGCGAAAATAAAATTTAAGCACTCTAGAGACTAAACGTATACTTATAGTCCTTATTTTCAAGGACTAAAACGACACTTTTACTCTCTAGGGATTAAAAATTAACTTTTGATTCCTAGAGATTAAAAGTACAATATGCTTAATGGCATTTTTACTCCCTAGGTATCAGAGTTGGGTCGGATACAGGAAAAAAGTATCCGAGTACCGGATACGGATACTTACAATGTATCCGGATACTTTTTAGGATACTTTCACCTAAAAAGTACTCGGATACAAGTATCCGGATACTTTTTTGGGATACTTTAAAGGATACTTTTATGGATACTTTTAAATTGACTTAAAATAATGTTTTCATACTAACAGTTATAATTATGCAATAAGATTGATTACGAGTAACAATAAACAATACTAGGCATAAATAAATTATCGAAAATGGAAAGCGATATAATAGAAACAGGAAAAAAACTACTCAATAAATTGTTTATTATTTTTATACTATGAATATAAAACATTAAAACAAAATGAACAATAAAACATAAAGGTGCGTGTAAATAAAACGAGTCGCGACTGAACCGCGCCAAAAACCAGCCAGTGTCGTGTCCATATAAATCTAACGAAATAAGCTCGTTGTTGGCGCGACTTGCCATGTTTATACAACCTTTCGATATTCTCGTCAGTGTCAGATGTATTCGACAATCCATTTTTTGTGGATCCTCCGACGAGCGGTATTTGGTAAAGTCGAGAGCGTCGAAAGGAGGAAGAGTGAGAGATTGCTGAATGTTTTGTTCTGACTTAGGCAAAGCAGGCTCGTATATTTGATCTTGTCAGATCTGTATACTTTATTGATGTTGATGACGACATAAATAACACATGATCAGTAACATTATGAGCAACAACGTCATACATGTATTTTATCAACTACATTTTAAAAAGTAATATGTAATTAGACATTTTACAAAATAAAAAATTCGAGGTATCTATACCTACTTACCTTTGCGTATAGTTAGGCATTAAAACTGATACAGCAAATTTAGTTATATTGCACTATATAAAAACACAGAAACAACCGTCTCTTGTCTTTGCCAACTGAAACATAACTGGGCTAATGGAACACCTCCACAAGTTCATGACGCTAACACCGGGCAGGATTTTTCCTGTAAATTTTTGCTTTATTTTAAATTTTACAGGGTGCACCAAACAAAACTACAAATCATAATAAAATAATTATTTTACTATTTTTTATTTAAGTAGGTACCTATTGCAATTGTGTCTTAAATATTATAATATTGAAAAATACGTATTTCATTTCTAATTATACAGGGTAGCTCAAAGTAATTCGATTATACAGTGTGTCTACTTAAGTTGGAACCATAGGGAAAAAATTTTATAATTGATTTTAGAAGAAAAAGTTATTCTTTATAAAAAGTCCTGCATGACCCAAAACTTAAAATACAGTTATTAGATATCAAAATTTTCAAGCCATATACGAGGTTTGTCAAAAAATATGAATTTTGTTTTTAAAAAAATCGAAAATTTTCATTAAAGAAAAGTTGATTAAAATTGAAAATTACATTCAAATATGCAATTACATTGATCTGTCTGAAAAATCCGATTTTTTCTAGATTTTGCATTGATCCACCTAATTACGGTAATCCATAATTTTTTCTCTCTCTTCTCTACTATAAACATGATACGCTTTGCTTTTCTTGATGTTTGTAAAGAATTTAGCAATTTTCTTAATGAAAATTTTCGATTTTGTCAAAAATAAACGTAATTTACTAAGTTTTGGGTCATGCAAGACTTTTTATCAAGAATAACTTTTTTTTCCTTAAATCAATAATAATTTTTTTCCATATGGTTCCAACTTAAGTAGACACACTGTATATTTTAATAGAGATAATATGGATTGGATCAGTTACGATTGTGGTAAATAATTTAAAAGTATCCGAATGTCGAAAAAAGTATCCGGTATCCGGATACTTACAAATTTGATCACGGATACCGGATACAAAATTTGAAAAGTATCCGGATACAGCTTTCGGATACACATAAAGTATCCGGATACTGTATCCGGATACAGAAGTATCCGGATACTACCCAACTCTGCTAGGTATTCAGTTTTGACCTCCTAATTAAAAGTCTCCATGGGCACAAAAATACTTTAAGACGTTGTTATTTTGCTAATATTATAAAATACTCCGAGAGCCCGTGATAAAAAAGTGAAAGAACTTTATCAAGGCTGACAAGGCTATCAAGGGAGCATTTGTACCAATTACAGTTAAAGAATTGCAAACAGAAAGGTGATGAGACTCTTCAAGAATACGAAGTAGATATTGCCAGATTGATATGGAAACTTTTTGAAATGTCGTGATGATAGTGTACACGTAGACGCTAAAGTAAATGGTAAAAAGTATATACCGTTGGTGGATACTGGAGCAACTAGGACCATTATACTGTAATAATCAGGCCATCGTACCACCAACCACCTCGGTCGATCGTCCTGTCTAAATAATTTTAAATTTAGTTTACATATAATCACATATAATGTAATCAACGATTATATTATCAATGGTGTAAAGTGTTCAGATTTTAATACTTTATCTCTAATTACACAATTAGAGATCTAAGTACTTGGTGTTATTTTTCAGGTTCAGGTTCAATTAGGAATTGGTCCAGAAAAGTTAACTTACTGTTATCGTTGCTGATATCGAAGAAGATACTATACTTAAAATGAATTTAATGAACTTACATGGTTTCCAGTTGGATTTTAAAAACAGAGTGATCAAAGTTGGTGCCGAAGATGTATTCCTACATCTATATTGGGACAGCAACCCTTACAGTAGCACGGCTTCAAGAAAATATAGACGAAGGAAGGAATTCTTATCGGAAAGGGTTTGGTTACGACTGTTAAAAAAATGTTAATGATCGCCCAATTTCCATCAAGAAAGAGACCAGGATTGGAACCTGCGTAACAGTAACTTCCACAATTCATCAAACAACAACTTCTGATAATTCCAACGACAAATTATAGCAAATGATTGTAGTTGCCGGTCAATCAATTAGAGAAAAAGGTAAAATAAAAGAATATCTTTGACGATATCGTGACAGTTTTATACCTAAGGAAGGAAAAACCCAAATAACATTCACACTGGTGATGCTAGGCCAATTCGTCAATCAGTTCGAAGATCACCAAAGGCCAATAGAGCTAAAATGGAGGAAAACAGGGTGATAGAACTTTCTACCAGCCCGTGGGTCTCTCCGGCAGTCTTGGTCCAGAAAAAGGATGGAATTACGAGGTTCTGTGTGGACTACCGTCAGTTGAACAATGTTACCAAGAAAGACAATTATCCTCTGCCTGTTTTTAAAAGTTAATTAACTGGGTCATATAGTCATATAAACACCAAATAAGAAGTTTCCTTGGGCTATACGTGACTTACAGAAGAGTTCTGCTGGGATAAAGACTGCCAAACTGCTGTTGAAACTTTAAAGAAGTATTTACTCACAGCGCCAATGCTATTTATATTGATTTATTCTAGATACTAATGCCAGTAATGTGGGAATTGGAGGAGTGCTATCACAGTTTTAGGGGGGAGAGAAAGAGTACTGGGTTATTTTAGTAAAGTGTTCACCAAACCTGAGCGAAATTATTGCGTCACGAGAACTCCTGATAGTTTTGAAGTGCGTAGAACATTTCTATCAATACCTATATAGTTGAGGCAGTTCAATAACCCGGAGGGTCAAATCTACAGATGGATTGAACGAAACGAAAATGTATGAGGTTTTTAATTTATTTTTTCTTTTTTCTATAGAAATACAAAAACTACACCGTTTTTTGGAAATGATTGTTTTCTCTTTTGTTTTATCAACAAAATACAAATTTCTGGATATCAAGAAGTAAGTAAATTGTATTCAATCATTAATGACGAAACTGGTGATATCAAAATTTTTAATTTCAAAAATTTATTTTCTGGTTTCTATTATAATTTACACATATACGAAGTTGAAAAAATAATGAATTGAATTATATAAAAAAAATATGTCACTGCTGGGAAAGTCATTATCTTCAAAACTAATCTAATGGAAGTTCAAATTTTAACGATGTTTCGAATAAAAAAAATTACAGTACGTTTATTTTATCAAATGAAACAACCCTGTATGTTATACAATATTTTAGTAAAATAAACTGTTAATTTCCCTTTGGCCCAATGGATTAGATACATTTGTATTTACCTTACTAAGAGAAACGGGTATAACTGTTTTCTTATAAAAAATACTTCATTTATGTTTTAATCAAAGTTCTCTTTAGGCATGGATAAAGTCATAAGACATTCATTATCATCAAACTACGTTTGCAGAAGACAACAAAGCTCACATACAGAACTACATACAAGGTTTTGCTCTCTGCATAATCTTTTTTCATTTCCAGTAACAACGGATTTGCAGTAATTAATTATTTCTGACAAAGCCAGTCTATCTGAGTTACAAATGAGCCCAGCATTCAGCGTTGGAGATTCTTCTACAATTTCATTAATAATTAATGTC